TGTACATTGGAGTGGAGAGTGTTCTTTTTTCTCCTTTCAGATTTTGAGAAACAAGAAAATGATGGTCACAGATGTTAAGAGGAATTTTCAACTGCTAAAAATTGTTGTCAATAAATTAGAGCTTTAAGATAATGAAATAATGAGTTGATTTTGATCATTGTGTGGCCCTTAAACACATATTCCTCTACTGGATTTCACTGTCCCATTCGTAAGTATTTGTGGAAGTTGTTACCTGTCCAATTAGTTAAGGGCAATGCATTTTTTTTGTCTAGGCAAAACCATGGCTGTTTCTGTACACTCTGTGAAGGAAGGCCCAACAATGAAACGACTTTTTACAAAGAAAAGAAGGGTAGTTGTTACGGGATTGGGTGTTGTATCCCCGCTTGGTCATGATGCCGATGAATACTACACTAATCTTCTTGAAGGTACTAGCGGGGTTAGTCAGATTGAGGCATTTGACTGTACTGAGTTTCCCACTGTAAATCTTCGTTCCTCTTATTTTAATTACTGTTTCTTTTTCCCGGGGGAAGTTAAATAGGTTCCGGATCTTGATGTATGGCTCGTTCATAACAGAGGATTGCAGGAGAAATCAAGAGTTTCTCGACTGATGGTTGGGTTGCGCCAAAACTATCGAAGAGGGCAGATAAATTCATGCTTTATATGCTCACTGCTGGCAAGAAAGCTTTATTAGACGGTGGAATAACAGAAGATGTCATGGCAGAGTTAGACAAGGCTAAATGCGGAATTATAATTGGCTCTGCTCTAGGTGGAATGAAGGTATCTTATCAACTCATAAGATGCAAGTTGTTGTTAGTTTAAGCATGTTTAGAACGTGTTTGGCTAAGCTTAAAAGAAGTAGAAGTTACTTTTAGGTAAATTTGATTAATGCAGGTGCTTTGTGTAAACTTTGATCAGGTTTTCAATGATGCTATAGAAGCTTTAAGAGAGTCTTACAGAAAGATGAATCCCTTCTGTGTACCTTTTGCATCGACGAACATGGGCTCTGCAATTCTTGCTATGGATTTGGTAAATTAAATTATAATGTCAAAATAAGTCATTGAAAATCGG